TATTTTTGGAACAGAAACAAGCCGTTTTACAGGCATGAAGATATGTGCACTAATTAGTACTGAAAAAATACTTGATGTGACTTGTTAATATAAATCCATATTAAGCGCTTGTTTATATGAGGGAAATATTGAAAAAGTACAAATAACTAGAAATATAATTTTTGAAGTTTGCTTCCGACTGAATAAATTATAAGATGCAGCGTTTAATCTAAATTTTAAGCAGTAAAACACCTATTACACATCAATTTTACGCTGGAGTTATAAATAATTGCGTTAGTAATAGGAGGTAAGTAGCATTTTGGTACAGGTGCTGAAGTGAAAAATAACAGATGAAGAATGAACAATGGTTATAAGTGAATGATTCATAAAGTGTTCTAAAGTCTTTAAAATTTCGAAGTTACCGGTAAGTACACCACAACTGTGACGTCTTGCGGTCATATAAGAGATTTATCAACATATGTCATGACGAAGTTGATTCCGTTATATTCTGAATAAGTGTAGTGTAGAAGTGTAGGTTCTAGTGATCCCAAGGCTTCGCTGGAGTAACACTAACATGGAGGATAGCGCCACTGTGTCATTGCATTTGTTGAAGGCAGTACCCTTGAAAAGAGAAGAAGATACAAGAAAACCGCAAGAGAGGTGCAGAAGTATATCATAAGTGTTAATAATTCAAAATATGAAACAAACACGGGGTTCGCTGCTTTTCTTTCCTGTTCTTTTTTCTTTTGCCGATAAGTTTTAGTAATGTAAGTCTACAGTCTTTCTTGCTAACGATTAGTTTAAGTGAAAAAGTGATGAGTACCTACTTATATAGGGTAATTCTAAGATTATTTTCTGGAAAGGGAGTTAAACCCGAAATTTAAAGTACATGAAATACAAAGAATGAAAGCGGGAGCTTAATATTACCTACTGTTTTGCTGATAAATACAGTTAGGTGTCTTTCTGAAGTAGCAAATTCACACCATGTACTTGTATTCAGGGAGTTTAAATTTTAACTCCAGCTTTTAGGCAGTTTTCAAATTCTATTTCTTTTTTATTTATTCATTTATCTTGCGGAAGTCATTCAGTCTCAGGGGCCTCAGCAATAGAGTGCTGTTCCACAGACAAGGGTGGTTCTCATATGTACCCACCAGTATATCCACTGAATACCAGTCACCACCCTCCCATTTTCTAAAACGCAAGGCCCTAGCGAAATGCTTCTTTTCCAATTTTCTACTATTATATGCCACGCACACTTTTTAACTTTCATCTGTCAACCCATTCAGAGTCATGATATGAACGGATACTTTCAGAAGACCATCTTGTATGTCCGATCTGTTACAGCATTTTGAAAAAAAGTAATAAAAATGTAAAGAAATGGAGCGGTCATTGTCTACCTTTTAGATATAAGTAAATGAAAATATGAAAAACGCTGCACAATGATGTAGCATTATATATATAAACAGTAGTAAGTTATATAATATTGTTTCGGGAAATTCGAATGCACAGGATTATAGTTATAGAACAGTAAGATAAGATTCGTTAATATTTAAGACTCAGTGTAGAGTTGATTATTTTGACTGTCACCATTTGGGTCTTAATTTGTGTAGAGCCAAACAGTGCTTACGTATGTAGGGGACTGTCTAGCGAGTTCAACGACATAACAAGTATGTGAATAAAAATCCAAGTTAATGAGAGTATAGTGTAACAGTATATTATAAAGAATACAGTAATTAGTCATATTAATTAAACGGTTACTTGGACATACAATTAAAGTCCACGGCTATAAATTATTAATATAATCGACAGAAGCGTTCACCGCTTGTGTCCTGTCTACTGGTAGAAGCAAGTAGATAGTATAGACCAATGGAGAGACGAAGCGATCAACAGTACAGTGCATTTTAGATTGTACTCAGAAGTTATCTATATTCCAACATGAATCGTTTCAAACAAAAGTCATGTATAATGTATCCAGAAAAGTGTACAATCATATTGTTACATACTCCACGCGTACATCCTTAGGCAGTCCCCAGAAACATTTTAATACCAGTCATCTTCAGGTGATTTACTACTGGAACTTGAGACTGGACTTTTAGCACACTGAAATGCTCATAATACAATTTTATCAGGGACATATGCAAAAATATTTGATTGAGGAAATAAAATTAAAAGCTGAATGTGAATAGGTAACACGGATTGTGAAACGTCATAGTGAAAGTAGAGTTAAAGATAGTGTACACAGGTTTTGGGAGCCAACAGTGAGGGTCAGATGAGCGCCGTATAAAATCTCTAATTTTTAGTTTGCCGCATGCTGCTTCTAACCCATTGTGGAAAAAATATTTGTCCAGCAGGATAGTTCACCAAAATGGGAAGATTCGGTTGCTCTCCCACTTCTTTTCACTGCGGGTTTGCCGTCCATGGAACTCCTTACAGGCAGATATAGCTACGGCACCGTCCATGGACAGCTTTAAGCGAAACCTGAACAGTCATCTAGCGACAAAAGGACTGAGTTCAAATGGCCTATCCCTTTAAAATCTCATACACCATTCATGGGTAGACAACTAAATTCGTCGTTTTACTTCTTTACATTCCCTCCCGTCTTACTCTTCTGGCTACTCCAGCTACTACGTTTGCACTTATTATTATTACCGCTTATACTAGATATATATGTATTTATATATGTATATTTTTCAACTTCAAATTAAATTAGCCGTCTGTTTTTATATCTTCTCTATTTTTCAGTCTTTTAGTCTGAATAACCTACAATAATTATATCTGCTATTATTATTACCGCTTTTCTTTTAACGACAGTGTCGGAGGATCGACTGGTGAAAGATAAACTCCATCCACAGTAGCAACAAAGACTTAACACACCGCATACCATAAACAACGTATAATTAATCCCACCAGCACTCCTTCAGGAGTGAAGCAAAGCTAAAACAGTCGAGTGGCAGGACGAACTATGCAGAAGTTTGCTGAAGACCAGGAACCTTTACCTCACAATCAAGAGGTGAGCATAGAGAAATCAAATTGATTTATACTAGCTCGAAATTGTCCACAAATACGGTATTAAGTCGAAAATATTCGAGAGAGGATTACAAAATAAGAATAATGACAGTTAAGCTTGATAGGATGAGGATGGGGAGAATGGTTTATTCAATAGCACAAAGAAGGTTAGTTAGTTCGTCCCTGACAATACATTCATCACATAAAGTACGTGCCAAATGTGGTATAGTGGAATTTTTATATTAAGACGTGCACGCATACAGTCTTTTGAAATGACTTCTTGTTTTACCTGAAGAGACACAAGGTGAAAGCTGTAGGTGAAGTGAATGCTCACAGTCTGCTAAAATCAAGTGCCCGAAATCAATGACGGTTGCAACGATATAGCCCAATGGGAGACCACTCACCCTACTGACAGTCTTCAGAGTTCTACGAAGTATGACACAGTCTTTTTTAAACAATTCAGGAAAGAATAAGGGTGAACAGTAAAGTAGAATAGGTAAGGTGCATGAGCTGACAAACTGTGAGAGGAGGGGTTGAGTTACGCCTGGGTGCCTCAAGGATTGGCTAGTAATGGCTCAGCATCCCTGATGAAATCCCCTGTCACCATAACAAGACGCTGTACAGCATCTTATACAAGCACTGTCAACGATCTAAAATGGCTTACATATAGCTTTCTACGTGTTTATCAACTTAATCGTACGGAACAACCATGCTGTGACAAATGGCGGGCTCTGGCTGACTTGGGTGCAGTACAGAAAATCTGCTTGACAATGACCAATATTTATCTGCATTCAGTTGAATTCATGTCTGGTATTACTTGCAATAAAAATGATGTCAAAATCATACAAATAAATCACTTATTTTAAATTAATACCCAATTTGAACATGAAACAAGAAGATACGATGCCGCACACAACAAAATTATGTGGAGGAATTGACTTGAAGCTTTATTTTTTCCCAAATATTTGTAATTTATCCGACATATAATTGGGTTTTTTGTTAATGAAAAGACAATATTTCTATATTCTTTAATGTGCTCCATTGAACGGCTAGCTATAAGACTGTACTCACTAACTGATGTCAGAGAGGATAGCAACCATCTAATTTCACTATAAATCAAATTCGTGTAATTTAAATTATACTTATCCATGCCTGTACAACTGGTGTGTCCTACATAGATAGGAAAATATATATATTATATTAACTTCTTTATGTGAAAAGTCAGTTGAAATACTCTTTTAGAAATCTCTAAGACATGTGAAGGTCAGGATTGGTCAGTAGATACTTAACGTCAGACTTGATCTCTATATCACTATCATCAGTTTTGCAACGGTCATAGGAACCAGCAGCTTCATTTAACTCTCTTTTACACCTGACATTTGGAAGGATTCAGTTTAAGATCATTAGACCATTTACTGACTCCTGATAGAAAGCCCTTCATCTTAGTACAGTCTAACTAGGAGTTAACAGACAAGCCCTCGAGTGGAACCCAAAAGCGAAGGGGCGAGTTGGTGGTCAGTGTGAGGGTGACTTGGAGGAGGTCATGTGAAGAGGAGATGAAAACGTGTGGGCAGACTTGGAGCCAGGTGAAGACTCTAGCAGAGAACCGAACGCAATGGAGACGCACGCTGAAGCCCTATGTTCCTCTAGGAATTAAAGGAAATAATAATAATACAATACTATGCCGAAAGCTTCAGGTTCTACATATAGTAAACTATTTATGTAGATGACATTACCCTCCAACTATCCCATCTTGCTCATTATGGCGGTATTTTGCTACAGGCTGCCTGAAACACTAATAATTGCAACCCATTTGCTACGAGTGTGTCGCAGTCAGAACACTTGACGCCGACACCAACACGACTTGTCAGAAAAGGAGAATTCCTATCAATTCAGAAATTATATACACAATCTTATTAAAACTTATTCACAAAAAATTAATCAAGCAGAATTTCAATCAACATGCTGGATAAATCCAGCCGTAAAAACTATATTGGACGTTGAATATTCACAACTGCCGTGTTCCTGAGTTTTCGCGCCACACGCACTCGACCTTGCCTGCTTTTGTGCTCGTGCAGCTCATTAAGTTCGTACTGCTCAATTATGGATATTCGCGGGGAAAATATCAAAAGTAACGGTGAATCAGCTGGGCAAATTGATGATCAAGACTTCCCCGCCCTTCCAAAAGCTGGATCCTGTCGTCCAGTGAAGATTCCAACTGCTGTGTTACCATCCTATCACACAAGGACAACAGAGGTATTATCATTCTTTGTATTAAAACATTTTAAGGTTTTGGAAATACCACTTGAAGAAAGACGGTTTGTAAATCAGGAGAATGAAAATCCAGCAGTTGGTAAGAGGTTCAATGTTCAGACCAAAGTTTGCATGGATATCGCAAGAGACACTAACGTTGAGATGAATGTAAACACTTCTAAGAACCATGTCCTGACGATTATTATCTCAGGAGAACCTGGTAAAGTAGCCGAAGCGAAGAAAAGAGTTGCTGCGGAGCTACAACAACAGGTAAGCTAATATCACATGAAAAATTAAAAATCAATTATTACCGTGTTCATTTACAGCATAGTTGTTCTTAAAACAGTACTCGGATTTTCACAAGGTTTATTTAGAAAATTATATCCCAACATTCAGTGTGTGTTAAGAATCGGCGCTTCACTCACCCTGGACACGTTCCTAGACGATAGCTAGAAAATACACTTGTGAGAGAAAGCTCACTAAGCAATTTAGATATAGCCATTGATATATATGATTATGAGCAATAAATTGTGCTCGAAACGTCATCAGTAAATATTACTGTATAACACTGTGAGTCTCTATCAAAATAAAATTTACCCATAATGGAGATATAGCCATTCTTGATGTCTTTATTTTTGGTGTCAGAACCTACACTGATTTCAGGGGAGAACTGTCAGAATGGAACGTAACGTTAGTGTTACTCGCAAGTAATCCCACTTGTTCATTGTGCTCACGGGAAACTTTTCCACTTCTACCAGCACCCTGTAAAATATCATAATACAAAGCATTTATCCATCTACTGAACTTCTATTGATGTTGAAAAGACTGCATTTTGTCAATGTATTGAATGAGAAGGACTAAGTCATCTGTATACCTTAAGTCGGCGATACAAGTCAACCCTAGGTAGTTAACGTAGTTTATGGTCACATGTATTAGTTCACCTATAATTATACTAAATGGGGGAATCAGCATTCCTGATGGTCACCACTGTTTGTCATCACTTCAAGTAACAACTCTCCACTAGCACTGACTCGGTGTAGAGTGATTTTATTGGTGTGGTGTGCTTTCTCGGTACTCCCTTGATATCCAGATATTTTGACAGAACCTCTCAGTCGACGGAGTCAGATGCCACCTTTGGGGTGAAAAATATCACAAGTGTTGGAAGCATGCCTATGTTGTGTATCTCCGATGCCCCTCCGATCTCTTCCGCTTTTGTCTCCCACCACTATTCGTGGTGAAGACTTCTTGACGACCTGCATTTATGTACTCTTCTCTTATCATCATGTTCGGAGTTCGCCAGAATCAATCTCCTTGTGTCAGTCGGTATAGATAAAGCAGCAGAAATACACTGGCTTTGGGTTACCAACAGCCCTAACCGCTGTTTCTACAGCTGATAAAATATTATATAAGGCCTCCTGAAGATGAGTCTTGCTGTCCATCTCGGATAGGCGTTTAGCTTTCTCTTCCTCGAACAGGAACCTAGTGTCTTGATGGTGTCTGTCTGTTCAATCATAGAGATATACGTACACGGACTAAAACGTGTTCGGAGTCCATTCAAATGTTCCAGAAGGAGCGTCAACCTTCTGCCAACCGTCGCCATCGACAGCTTATCGCCTTGTGGTCTATTTGAGTCCATCATTGTTTTGACGGTGGATGCCACCAAGTTAGGCCATGTCTGTCTTTGGTTTATAAATTAGTGTCGACCACGAACGGATAATTATCCGAACGGAACTGTAGGAGACGATCACCGTTGTTGGTCTGTTAGCATTATACTCCGTGGCTACCGCCAACATGCTTCTCAGACTGGTACAACTTCCCTGCTTAAGCATTGAAGCTGCGTGCTAAAACGACTATATCTGAACGTTTTGCTTTTAGCAGCAAACTAGTCAGCTTTTAATAAATCTCATCCTTTATTTTGTCCGAATTGCAATGTGTTATGTACTGTGCGTAGATTATAAAAAGACATTGACGGATATTGTAAGCTTTTATTTCAACGGATCTATGCAGGTGGCAGCACACGTACGATTATCTACTGAGATCCAGTCAAGTAGGGATTTTTCTGACCTGGACTCAATGCTATCCCTACACCTGTGGGTCCCCATGAACCAGGCGAAAAATCTGCCACCCGCAAGGTTAATTTCTCTCATGTCTGATTGACTAGATGTTATTATGCGAATAATTTGTCGGCACCATGCACTTGCTGTATGCAAATTTGGCTCTTCCGGTATTAAGTCAACCTTCGAGGCATCCAAGCCAGTGAGGCACATCCAATAGTAGATCTTTGATGAGACTAAATCGAGATTTTGGCATAGGACATTTCGGATGTACACCACCAAGTGTCGCGTTTGGAGCTCGCAGGCACCAAACCAATGCATCTATCAGTTCGGATGAAACTGCATTTATCTCTTGGATTTCAGTGTCTTGATTGTAAGTTATCATCAGTCCTTACCAATCGTATCATTTAGACTCGATGGGATACCAGGCTTACTCTTAATAAGTATTGCTGCCATCCTCAAATATTTATTCATCTCCTACCCAAAATAAACTAAGTTGGAATTGAAAAACTGAACATATAAGGACTTCGTACTTTCTTGGTTCCTAAACCCTATCTGTTGCCGGTATGCACATGCACATACCAATTTATGATAGTTCTATATGCAGCTGTAATCTCCCATCAACTGGCTGGGTTTCAACTTAGATCTATGCACAGATGTGCAGACGTTAGAGTTGGCAAACTCCATGTAAAATACAAGGCAAGAAAATAGGGTGGAGAAAAATTTCAAAAGAGTTAATAAACGGAAGTGTGAAGAAAAAAATAGTAATATGGGAAAACAGAAGTTTTTTGGATATGACAAGTTACAGAGAGTAAATGCATCTGCTCAAGGCATTGAGAACGACTTTGAGCCATGTCATCAATTGTCTCCAGCCATTGATTTTTACCGTCCCGAGGAGTCCAACCTTCCTACGCGGCTTAAACTAACTGTTATGGATTTCATCAACGAATGAAGCCATGTTTTGGTTTGACCACCACTGGCTAGCTCTTTTCCAACCTGATCCATCCTATGCCAGTCAGCTAACATTGCCTATTGTCGAGGAGGGCGATCGATGGCTAGGCGTGCCTAACACACGTCTTATATATCTCAATCGATGTAACTTCATAACATCGTGGATTGATTTTCCCTCCTTACCTAGCACTCGACAGATGCCTAACCTCAATATCGCTCACCTGATTAAACGACCCAACACGGGAGATAGAAACACAGACACCTATGTTGAAAAACAGCTATCCTCCTGATATCTTCCAGTGGTCATGCGTCACTCACAGACATAAACGAGGACAGAGCGAACTGCTGAGCAGTACACTCAGCCTTTAGTCGACACCCAGCTGGATATCAGGTCTACCGAGGCAGAGACGGCGTAAACTAGCATATGCGAAACTAGCCTTGTGTATCCGTGCTGAGATTCCGCCAGCGATCAACCCGCTGGTACTGGCTGATGCAGCTTTCCGAATAAGTGAAGTGGTCAACACGCTCTACCACTTCATTGCCTATCTTTAAGCTAGGAGTAGTCGATGTAGTGCAGTCCTGTAGCATTATCTTACATTTGGCGGGAGCGAATCGCATGACAAACATTCGCAGATTGCAGCTCCTCAAGGTGTTCAGAAGACTGCTCTGTTTTGTCAGCGCCTTCACCTAGGAGGGAGGACTGTATCATCTGCATATCGTAAGTCAACGAGATTATTCCCTGATGGTAACAAGTGAATCGCTGAGTCACTGAAGTCACTTTTGGTTAAGTCTATTACTACATCTATGATGAAATTGAATAGAAATGGGGACAGTGGGTATCCCTGAAGGACATCACTGGTTGTCACCACTTCAGATGACAACTCGCCGTAAGCTATCAGCTGGCTGACTGCATGTGTTCGAGTAGAGTGATTGGCTTGATCAGTGCAATGTACTACTGGCACTGAATCAGGTGGCGACCATACGATGCAGAATATCTAGAAAAATCATATGCTTTTGGTCTTTTCCCTTTAAAGTGCAAACATCGTTAGGTCAGTTAATGTCAGTTTCTGACATACCATTAATCTATTTGTTGTGAAGAATGAATTATTAAGAACGCTTGTTGCTTTCGTTGCTTTTTGCTCTGTAATATTTTGATATATATATAATCTTGTAAAATATTAATATTTTCTCAGGAGACTGTGCGGATACCTGTCCCTGTTGAATATCGTGGTTATTTAATTGGTCGCAAGGGTGAGCGATTACAAGAGCTGGAATCGTCTACAATGACACGAATCATTTTCCCGCCTAACAATGCACTTGACCCAAATGTTGTTATTGTATCGGGTCCTAGGAGAGGAATTATAGAAGCGGAACAATTAATACATGAGATTGTAAACAGACAATCCCAACAAGGATTTGAACGGTTGTCAATACCCAAGATCTATCATCCCTTTATATGTGGTCCGTAAGTAATTGATATTTATTTATTTGTGCATTGCTTTATCCATTAAAGCTAGTTTTAACGCGTCAGTTTTCCATTTTCAGGAACAGTCAATTCGTAAATGATCTAAAATCTCGAACCGATACGAAAATCAACATTCCTCCTCCTAGTGTACCAGTTGATGAAATTACAGTATCGGGCAAACGTGAAGGTGTAGCGCAAGCAGTAAAAGAAATCAAAGCAATTTACCAAGAGCGGGTAAGAATTTCATATGAATGTGCTTCTACTTGTGTTGAAACTTTCCCTGTCTCATGATATATGCTGTTCTACCTTTGTGCCAGTTAATAAACAAGTAGTAGTGTGTCTAGGAAGTAAATGAGTGGTTTACAAATTCAATAAATTGTAGTGTAAGTGATTTCTACGCTTAGCTACTGAAATATTTCATTTTTTGCACTATAAATCTTGTTTTCAGCTTGAAACTACAAAGACAATGGTTCTAAAGGTGGCTAGATCACAACATCGCATCATATATGGTCAACGAGGCTCTGGAGTTGCAGATATTATGGCTCAAACTGGTGTTTCAGTTGAATTGCCGCTGGACGATGGTAATGAAGAAATTGTTTTGCGAGGGAAACCTGAAGATCTTGGCCGGGCTGTGTCCATGGTTTATCAACGAGCCCAAAGCTCTGTATTGGAGGAAATTGAGGCACCCCATCGCTTTCATAGACTTTTAATTGGTAAAGGTGGCGCCAGTCTGTCGGAGTTACTCGATGGATATAAGCGAGTAAGTTTCCACCTTCTCGTTTATTGGCTTGTTATCAACAGTTATTTATAGTACCTAGGGTGTTTTGAAGTACATGAAGTACTTTGGTTTCTATGAGTCTGTATTTATGTGTATTGCTTTGCAACAACATCCTTAAGTTTGACGCTTTCATGTTTCACCTAATCTTTTCGCTCCTCACACAAGATAAATGTCCACTGAAAGTAAATTGCCCAGTTAAGGGATGATGCAACTCAGCCTCAAGCATGCAATTACTTAACCATGAGCTATCTGATGTATGAAAGCTAATGACGAACTCGTTTTCGTGGTCAGTATAAACTCGGGAATTACTCCTGCCTGAGTCTTGTTTGATAATATATTTTGGTGTGAGTATTGATTAGTTCAAATTTGATTTGTGTTATTATTAGTAGAGTAACTGATGACGAATAAAAAGGCTTGGATTTTATTCTCTAACTTTATTTTGGAGCTGGTGAAATTTGTGATTACCCATCAAAGGGCAGTTTTTCTGTGCAACAGTTTTACCCATCTTTTTTTAGTAAGCTACATAGTTTACTACCGTACGTGTCTTCGCCATTTCTCAAGAAAATTTTTATATTACTCTCAACATGTTTTAAACGGGAATAACAAAAAAGACGTTTGGCTCTCACAACCGAGTTGGTGAACACTCAGGTCCACCAAGGGGGGCTGAAAAACCCTGATTTCAAACTAATAGTGCACATGGACTCCAGAATATGTTTTGGTCACCGGCAACCATAGGAACGCTGCTCCACCGCCTTGCGGACCAGACTTCAATTCAAAGTCTCGGGGTGTATTGCTCCCTGAAGACAATTAATGATTGATTAACCCTTGGTTAAATGCGACACCCGTGGTGCTGTACTATAGATCTAGTGCTTGTGGAAATTACGAATGTTGAGCTGCTTGAAACAACCGCAAGCTGGCTAGATTTAAATGGTCGATTTTGGTAACCAGTTCCCTGAGTCTCCGCAGTTATAATATACGTTGAGGAATATCCCTTGTCCCAAAAATCTTGAGTAGTGCCTGTTAGCAACTCTCGACAACAAACAACTATTGCGTCTTACTAGCCGATCCCCGCTGAGAATTTCGTCGACAATATGTTCATATCCTTTCCAGATTTCAGGCTGATCATACGGATAAAGGAGACCAGTAGTAGAAACATGTACTGGTTGGATATTCTTGACCAGTTAATTGGCACTGTGATAAGACTCTTAAAAATGCCACAAGTTTAGACAATCTTAGCGTCCTGAGCTTCAAGTTCTGAACGCCGCCTTATTGTTGACTTGCAAGCCTCAGGCACTGCATGAGTGCAGCAGTGAAATATACGCCAGTTCCAGCGTTCCAAGTAGTCGGGCAAACAAATTGGTTAACTTCTGATGCTGCTCAGTTTAGCTTCTGGGCGGAGTTGCAGCCATCACACGAATTATGAAGCAAAATTCAATGAGTGACTATAATCGCGCACTTCCTATAACACGCTACATCCCCAGTCATATTTTTAACATTCTGATACTTTCTGATTTCATCTTTATACATAGACCCTGTTTTATTTTTTACCAACTTTACTATTTCTAGTATCTTTTTTCTCGTCAGTCTTTCATTTTGGTTTGGAATCTCAGCTTACCTGTGCCCTTTCGAGTCGTTAGTTAGCAGTCTTCCGAATGCTTATCTCCAGTGCGATATCTAATGTGGCTATCACGGAACCGTGTTCAAACGTGACACCTAGAATTTTTGTAAACTGATGCAAATCTAATAACGGATCTGTCCAGAACATTAGAATTCCTTACTGTGTCAAAGAGATATCGTGATGATGGCTAGTGACTTGAATGTACAGGTTAGGTATCTAGACATAGAGGAGAATCATATAGGTGCTCAGTGGCGTTTACATGGTCGCAACTTTGCACCTATACCGGAGATATGGAAAATGGCAACAAACAACAAAGGGAGGTTGGAGAGACAGAAAGAGCGAAAATATATATAATACAGGTTGTGAAAACGTGTAACTAAAAGTGATATGATTATGAGCAATAATTTATGCTCGAAACGTCATTCAGTTGCTAATACAGCATCACTGTGTGATTAATAAAATAAACTTATCTAGTATGGAATTACATTCTACCAGTGCCCGAGTTCTACACTTAGATTAATCTTACCTAAGATGTTATATTTCTTTGCGTATTTGCAACTACTATTAATGTAGACCACAATGTGTCATTTTGTTTATATACTCTATTTTTTTTAAAAAAAATTATTGTTTTTCGTCAATGTAATATATTTCAGAATTTTTCACGCATACACTCTTGTTTTTAATTTACAATCCTTGTAGTTTATCTGTCAATTTTTCTGCAATGAACTATATAATCGATGTCTACATGCTAGATTTTCAATGCTTTTCATGTACGTAGGTTCAAGTAAATTTTAAAGAAAACTCCGACAAAATCATTGTCGAAGGTCCTTCAGAGGAAGTTGAAGTTATTGTTGAGCGCCTAAGAAGTCGACTGGAAGAGTTACAATCTACTGTTGCTATGTCGACGATAAAAGTGAATCCTAAGTACTATCGACATATCATTGGAAAGCAAGGAGCCACAATTGGTCGCTTTCGTGAATACAGAGTACGAGTATTGCTTCCTAATTCTGAACGGGGAGATTCTTTTGCATCTGACGAAGTGGTTATAGAAGGGGATCCTGCTGGAGTGGAAAAGGCAAAGCTAGAGATCCAAAAACTCGTAGAAAAATTGGTAAGTAGCCCATGTTTTCGTTGCTTTTTTAGTGTTTTTATACACCCCAGGCATTGTACACACCTTTGTGTAGTCTTCGTACATATGATGTATCCTAGGCTAGTATATGAATTATCTACAACGGACAGTATGAAAAGAGTACTTATTTACTTTGCAAGTGTTTCTTCATATGCCAGGCTGTGAACCACACTCATTGCGGCAGGGGATGTGATACTACCTGGTTGGTGGCTTAGACAAAAATGGTTGAAGCAACATTTGAAACCGAAGTGTAGTCTTTGGAAGCTAAGCGTTAAGCCAATAAGCCACATCTATTATATGAAAAACAGTTACATAGAGATAATGACTTACATTGGTCATTACATTATTGTACCTCAAACGTTAAGAATATATCAAGATTGGGGATTTTCAAGAATTTTCTTTTGATTTCACCAATAACTCTCCTTTACTCCCATAGTATGAGTATTATGATAGAAGTCTTCCATTTTGATATTGATAGCGGTGAAATCCTTAATGCCTGTGACGTTTATATTATTAAAGCTGTCTGTCAGTTGTGTGTTTGCAAGTGGCTTATTGCGTGTTTTGGAGAGTACATATTTCAGTGTCAAAAATGATTGATTGTCGTATTAGAGAGCGATGAATTATCACTCCAGTAGAATTACTGTGCTTCAGCGTTATGTTAAAATTGTGATGAGTTTATCTTTTTAAGTTGAATATTATTCTCCTGATGCTTTTTTATACAGGAAAATGAAAAATGTAAAGATGTGATTATTGACCCGCATATTCAGAGTCTCTTACGTTCTAACGTTAATGGAAATCCGCCGTATATTCGTGCAATTTACGATGCCTTTCCACAAGTGCGTATTATATGGCCTGAAAGTGAATCAACTGATTTAATGTTTGCGGAAAATCCAACCAAAAGTATTGTACAACTCCGTGGTGATCGTCAACAAGTTGATGGAGCCGGTGAAAAGCTTCAAAAGCTTATCAAGCAAGTTATTGAAGAAAACTACAGACAAGAAGTAACTACGTCTTTTCATATAAATTTTTTATTCAATTGATTCTCTTCATGAATTCGATTATCTTTCCGTATTACTCTAGTTCATAACACTTTCCTGAATATGTAGACGTGCTAACTTCCATGCATGTTAAATTAATCTACACGATTTTGTTATTAATACTGACTGGTTGAGTTTCAGCTTAGAACTTTCCACAGAAGTACACAACAGTTCAGGCTGCCATATTCCATGTAGCATACAAATGGGAGACAGAAGAGAGGTAAAAAAGACATTCAAAAGAACGATAATAAGCAGAAATATGAGGAGGAGGAGTAATAAAGGCATGAGAAAACAGTAGAGCTTAGTGAATTCGGGAGATAACAGAAAGTAAATGCAACTGCTCCATTCAGGACAATTTTGTGCCATATCACCAATAGTTTCCAGCAGCTATTAGTTCTTGGAAATCCCGAGACCTCCAACCACAGGCAGCCTAAACCCCCCATATGGCTAGCTGAAACTAACTGTCAGACTGATGCCAGGACGCTGTTTGACCACCCGTACTATTCTAATCCAATGTCTATTAACATTGCTCGTTGAGGAAGGTGATGGCTCAGAATGTGGATGCAGATTCATAACCTCATTAGTCTGCTCACCCTCCTTACCTGACACTACTCTTAGTGCAGATATTACTCACTATATCATGCGTCGGTGGCATAGCGGTTAGGACGCTCGCCGACCATGCACATGGTCCGGGGTTCAAACCCCGCCCGGCGCACTGCTTTACCTCGTTAAGCCAGAAATAATGCTGGTGAATTGGGAAGGTTGGGCATGAGGCTAGCAACCCCATCCTGTAAACGTAAAACACTGCTACAGAAACTTCAAGCCTCTAGCTTGAAGCCCTATAATCCACTGGGGAACGTGAAGGATAAAAAATATCATGTCACCTTATACGGGAGATGGAACACACACATCTGCAGTCAACGACAGCTGGCCATTTCATATCTTCCGCTTTCAATGGCCATGGTTAACAGCCATAAGATAGGACAGAGTGAACTGCTGCTCAGTGCACGCATTCTTTGATCGGCAATGGGATATCACATGTACGCCAGTCATGACGCCAGCTTGCAGACGCCACATGAACCTTTTGTATCTTTGTTGAAATTTCGTCAACATTCAATCCATTAGGGCTGATGCGAGTTTCCAAATAAGTGGTGGTCAACATGCTCTGCTACTGTACTCTCTCTCTCTCTCCCCTTCTCCCTCACGTTGATGTTCATTATAGCAGTTTTGAAGCTGCTTTTCTCTCTCTGTTGTCTACCTTTATGTGCTACATGGTCTGTGGCAACTTGAAGTGTTGCACTTCTGTGGGAAGTTCTGTGTTGAAACTTAGTTACTTGGAGGTAAACCTTATCTGTATAAATTATTTATAAAGATCCCAGCTGGGATTATTTTAAATAATTCATAATGATTCAGTCTAACTTGACGCTGAAATTATTTCGGGTAATTCGTGTGACCTATACATACGGTCTGCAAGATTTATCAACAAACCTTACCTATTTAAGCATCTTATAGATCTAATTAAGAAAAAACTATACAATTCACCAAATATCATGCAACGACTGTGAGATCAACTGCAGAGGTGAAATCTGGTCAGCATCAGTTAGGTTATCGGAACGTAAGTTTTTAGCTTGATCGTAAAATGACTAATCCTGCTAAGTAATCTAGTAAAAGACTGGGTCATTCATTGCAATGCATTCATTTGCATCTAGTTGCACAATATAGAGTGGAATACAATAATAGTAGTATTAAAAATTAATATCATTGTAATTGAAGGGAGGTGGTGTTATCCACTGAATCCTTGATCATTGAATCAAAATCGAATACGTGTGATGGTTGAAATGATTGAGTACCGACCTATCTTGGATACATGGAAGTTAAAGGTTAGAGAAGTTATAAAAACTCATGATTTCTAAGCAATAAATTATGCATGAAATGTTATCTAAATCCTTAACACTATATATGGATTCGTATTTCTAAACTACAGTGTCCTAATTCTAATCTGATATCAATATCCCTCCCTTGCAGTAACTTCTTCAGGTTCCATAGTTGTATCTTCATTTTGGTTTAGATTTAATTGTTATAATGCTTTTTTTCCATAACACATTTAAATCATTAAGATTAGTGAATTATATGTAAACTTTTACCTAATTACAGAGCAAAATGTTTTTTTTTAAAATTTTTGATAACATATATATAAAGATTGTAGCAAACTAAGTGTCAGACATAAAAGTATCATAATATGGAAATGAATTATTACTCATGATTGATGCTCACATTGCATTTTATTTAGTCTAATGTCAAAATGTTATGAATTACAAACAAAAAAAATAATTGAAGTAGATAACGATCATCACTGTCATGTTTTTTAGCAATTCAACTACTGCATTATGTCATGCACTTAAGATATGACCTTTCATTATATAAGCATACATTTTAACCCCCCACACCTTATTTGTCTTTTTCGTCTTTGAATAAAATCCGGCTGACTCATCCAACTTTGTTCACTGTATCATACATATTCCTTGTCATGCATGACTGAAAAAAAATTTCAGTGTGAGCACTAATCATGCACTTTCCCTGATTCATATTTCCTTGTTATGCATGACTGAAAAAAATTGCAGTGTGAGCATTAATCATGCACTTTCCCTAATTCATATTTCCTTGTTATGCATGACTGAAAAAAAATTTTCAGTGTGAGCATCACTCATGCATGTTCACTGACTCATCATATAACTAGAATACTTTGATATCAAACGTCTGATTTATGAAAGTAGCATAGTTCCTTATTGAAAAAAGAAGCTATGGGTTAAAGTGCATGACATAATGCAGTTGAATTGCTTAACATGATAATGACGACTGTTCACTGACTCATATTCCTTTTTCTTCATTCTCCTTTCTCTGAGTTTATAGTGAAAGTTTAAAAGTTATTTAAAACTGCGCATAAGTGCGATTCGGATATTGAATTAGAAAATTAAAATATTATGAAACAAAGTAAATCTGATGCATGTTGCTTTGAATGTGAAGCTTTTATCTCTACAAGTTATACAGGTACCTCTGGAATTCTATTGGCAAAGGATAAGGGTGAGAGTATTCAGTTTCAGTTTGATTGGTGGCTAGTTCCAGTGGAATCCGGGATGTGCATTAAGTAATTATTTGAGACTCATCGGCTGGATGTACTTGCATTCCCTGTGAGTGACTTAGGGTGTTCCCACTGAGACTCAAACCTTCCACCGATTGTCCCAAACGCCAGACCACAGGGGTTATGGGAGCTACCTCTTGTGCAACTGGTATCACTTACTCTTTGTTTTCAGATTAGTTAACTTTGCATTTCGCGTTGCTCGATCTCTGTTGACATGTTGGCTTCAATTATGGACGCTTCGATGATGGCTAAGAATTAAAATGAAGCTATTTCGGTTGGTCCAATAAGACGAACCAACCTAAAATCAAATGGTATTCTTGGTATTAGATGGTTGGAGGCAATCGGCAGGAAGCCTTGAACCTAGGTTACGTGCTAGTTGGCACTCATCAGCAAGACGTATCTGCAACCTTGAAGGAACTCATGTCCCTTCTGAGATTCGAACCTGCGTTATCCAGTGCTGCAGTCAGAGACGTTACCACTGAGCTATTCAAGCTCATTACACTAGTTACTGACTAGTGTGCAATCGAAAATATCCAATACAGTCCTACAGGAGGTCAGTCGCGAGTCTGAATAGCTCAGTGGTAACGTCTCTGATTGCAGCACTGGGTGACGCAGGTTCGAATCTCAGATGGGATATCAGTTCCTTCAAGGTTGCAGATACGTCTTGCTAATGAGTGCCAACTAGCACGAAACCTAGGTCCAAGGCTTCCTGCCGATTGCCTCCAACCATCTAATACCAACAATTCACAGTGCACCGTAATGGCGAGCCACCTAGCATGGTGGCCACATTGCAAACATGACTGATAGAATTCAGTCTGCACCGAAGATAGGACTAGACGCATTACATTAGTTACTGACTATTGTGCAATCAAATGGTATTCTGTTTTACCGAATCAAATGAGATCCTGCTGTGTAATCGTATCTTAAGTTTGCCTAAGTAACAAACGATTACGTTTGACGTAAAACGTGAATTTCTATTTAATATCATGCTCCGTGTCTTTCCACTTTTAGTCCTCACTTTGTCTTCGATCGGCATTCATCAAAATTTACAAGTTACCATTGTCTAAATTATTTTATTTGCCTGGCTATTTCATCTCTGAACACACTTATGAAGTGATGAAATTGAACACTCATTTATTCATTAATTACTCCCTATTTTCATAAAATTGTACATCAAACAATCTACTTGTCATACTCGTTTGTACACTGTAATTGTTTGTATTAATTTTCTGATTGTTATTTCATTTTTACTCCGAAGAGTTGAACTTATGTCGTATTACCGAATAATTTATTGTTTTCTAGATACATATCTTGAAGGGGATACGGGCTAGTTTTCTTGGGCGTGAATTCCCGAAAGTCCGTAAACTTCTAGATGATACACATACACGTCTTCAATTTCCAAATCCCAATTCTGATTCCGATGTATTCACTGTGATTGGACGTGAGGAGAATGTACGCCAAGTAATAGAACAATTAGAGGAGATGCAAAAGAAACTGGTACGTTAACAAAATGTTAAACCTTGATGACCGTAGCCTTAGCTGTGTTTTCAGTTTGTTTTCTTTTACTCTTTTTCTGCCGCCTACACATTGTATATTACTGTAGAGCAGTCTATTGCGTTCAAAAGCCTTTTTCACTGTTTTTCCGACTTTTTTCACGGTTTTGTGTATGCACTTGCCTATCTAGAAGAATAAAAAAAAATCAATCGAATTATAAGTTGACTTGACACAATGACACAATCATGACTGCTAGTTATCACATTAAATAATCAGCTTATTTATATTGTGCAAGGGTTATTAATAATATCTAACTGGTCACACCTAATAGCGTACTTGTTGGCAGTCGAAAGAAGAGCAAGTCACGCATAATCTTCTGTTGTCAGGTGTATTTTGCTTCATTTTTGCAACAATGTAGTCATTTTTTTAGAATTTATTTCATACTACTAACAACTAACTCAGTAGTATTTTTCTTTCGAAAAGACTTTGTCTATCACTACAAGCATTTCAGTAGCACAAAGCATGAAGTGTACTTTTGTTGCATGGAAGATAAATTCTTTGTTGACTTGATTAGCTACTTATCAGCTTATTTATTAACAGGCTGGTAAGTATTCATTTGAAATTTTGTCTCACCTCAGTCATTTAATAAGTTAGTCATAAAAGCATGTAAATTACAAGTTTTTGATATTCATTATTATATTGTAACTTGGTTACACTTTTATATGTTGAATACTTTAAAGTTTATAGCAAATTGAAAGGTAAACTTAGAGAGAGAGAGAGAGAGTGAATGGACTGTTAGTTAGTATTCAATTAACATATTTTGTTATTTGTGTTTACCTCTTATAATTATGTTTAAAAAAGATAAGTGTTATCATTCGTGATGTCTCTATGATCTGAATACATTTCTATTCATAGACTTATCTTACACTACGTTGAATAGAGGCACAGTTGCCAGTAAAATGCAGTCAACTAGTTGAACTTTGCTTTATTTTATTAGAAAGAATAATTAAAAGTTTATCATGCTGATTATTATTCCCTTGAGTTTCTAGTGGAGCATAGGGCTTCAACACTTTGTCCTATCTTTTGCCATCAACTTCAGTTGGGTCCACGTTTGCCCATAATCTCTCATCTCCTCCTCATACAGTTTCCTCTGTGTCACCCTAGCATGACCCACTCGTCGCTTTCCACTGGGACTCCACTCGAGCAATGGCCCGCATTGCGCGCGATGTCATTCGATGGTTTCCTCAACGTATGCCCGATTCGTTCATCTCCATTTTTTCCTACAAATTTGTTGAGCAGTCGACTCTTGGGTGGTTTGTTGCCAGCCAGAGTTTTTTGGTGGAAATTCTTGGTGGCCGGCCATCTGATCTTCAGTGTGCAGTAAGTGAAGGTAGCTATTGATAAAGTTAGCTAGCTTGCTAGTTTTCCAGCCGGTCCCAAACCCGCGTAAAGAGAGAGGGTTGGGCGTGCGGCTAGCAATCATACACCACAAAAGCTATCAAAGTGCTAGAGAAACTTCAACGCCCAAAAATTTTTCATCGTATGCATGGTATGTGTTTTTTTATGATTTATCTACCGTTTTTCAAAACAAATATTTTGAAATTTCATCGAATAACTTCACTAGTTTTGATATCTAATAGTTTAATAAGTATCGTAATTGTATAACAGTAGAATATGAGTTGGATTCAGCCCATGATGTATAAACCTGTTAGTAAAATGCTAGTTATGATCGAACCAAAGCTTAGAATCAATCCACTAAAATCTTCAACAGTTAATCTGAGCTATGTAGGGTTGGGATCCTCAGGATTCCCGAAAACAAATGGCTGAAGAAAATTGGTGGTATGGTTCAAAATTGTCCCGAATAGCGTGGATGCACTTATTTTCTGTAGTCTCCTATATTCATTAAACTCTATTGTTTCTCCCAGGTTATTATTCTTTCTGACTTACATTTCTCAGTATCTTTTTCCCTCTTTTCTATCTTCTCTTTGTGTGCTACATGCCATGTAGCAATTCACTTTTGTGCAACGTTCTATGATGAAAACATTTCAGTAAGATTCTAGCGTATAAATTTGAGTAAGCCTAGATTAAGAGTATTGCCGGTTTTTCTAACTCAATACACGATAGTTTATGTATATC